TAGAAATTCAGTATTGCATCATGACACGTCATGACACGCAATAACCTCTCTGTCTAGTTTTCAGTTATGCTCCGGTTCTGTTGTTTTTATAATGCCAGCATTACGAGAAAGCAAAAACGTTTTCTGGCAATAAACCCAGCATGTCTGGATAAATCACGAAGCTAAGGATCGAGTTGTCTACCCGACTGACAAGATGTGTGTAGGAATAACTGGAGACAACCAACAGAGGAGTGTCCGTGATGAACGGCTGAGCCTACACTCGCAAAACCCAAAATGTTCAACTCTACATGCAGTAGAAAGAGAAGTCTATTGGAGTGTACAATTCTACAAACCATGACTTATTATGTACAGGTGAAGTCACGGTTGTTTAGCTCGAAGCATATATAATTGCTAAGGTATGTCATCATGATGGGTGCGACTCCAGCTACGAATTACCACAAGTGGTTTCCGTGAGTAAACTCACGCTATTACCATTACGCATATTCAACTGCAGGGCAAATAAATATCGCTTCCGGGAGCAAACTGGCGATATTGACAATACGTGTATTCAACTGCTGGACAAATACTTACCTACATTGGTTTCGATGAAGTAAACACTGACTGTATTATAGAAGCACTACAAAGACGGTGTCAAGTTTAACAAAGGTTTGGTTGAACTACTTCCTTGAGAGGTTCTTTGACACGATGGGAACCGACTTTAGTTTCCTTGTGCATACGTTAGGGTTTATCCCATCCACAGGTGATACTTGTCAAATTGGCAAGGATAGGTTGTTTCGTTTACCTGTCATTTTCATGGATTTTACTCACTCCTGTGTCATGATAAATTTCCGTCTCACGCTTATTCAAACGTGTAGTTAGTCTAGTTAGGTCTGACTGCAAAATACTCCAGCTTGTAATTAGCAGACGGTGCGACACGGTGTATGGCGTTATTATTGTGCGCATGACTAGCAGAGAGCGCAGGCTGGAAAGACATCCTCCTTTTTCAGATATAACTTTGGATTTTGGTCAAGTCTTTTTAAAATATTGTGTTCTAGAACTGATAAGGAATCGGGATACGTCACTTAATCAAAAGCACACAAAAACTCAAACTCGCCATTTTGTGTAACTATAGCGTAGTTAAAGAGATTTTGGAATGCTCGAAGACATTTCCATCATTTTTTGGGTATATGTAGCCTAAGGTGTGATGAAATAAAAACGACTATTGTTTCTGTCATGAAATGAGTACAAATGGTATTTTTGAGAGCTATTTTTCAGGTCCTGTGTCGACCCGAACGTGCAATTTGTATAAAAGTCGTCGGTGCGGGCAGCAAACAAAACACAGTAAATTGTGACGTAACAAACAGGACTCGTTTATGCTACTCTGCATCGGGAGTCCTGTTTATTATGTCACGATTTACTGTGTTTTGTTTGCTGCCCGCAACGACGACATTTACACAAATTGTACGTTCGGGTCGAAACAGGCATGACAGGACTTGAAAAACAGCTTTCAAAAGTACCTTTTGTACTCATTTTATGACAAAAACAATAGTCGTTTTTATTTCATCACACTTTAGGCTACATATACCCGAAAAATGACGGAAATGTCTTCGAACATTCCACAACCTCTTTAACAAACGGCGAATGTATTTGTCTTAATTTTTAGCAGATCATCATGAAAACAATCATAGATATGTTAGAATATTTAACAATACTAAATTGTTTGTAAGATCGGTTCAGGACAGATTCGTCAGTTCGTCAAACTCTGACGATTTATCTGAAATATTGTTCGGTAATGAATCGAATCGAATTTGAACGAACATTGTATATGCGACAGGAGAGAGGACGAGAAACATTGGATCCTCATCAAATCAATTTTTTAAACTGATGAACAATTCTAGACGTCAACGTGCATACAAACGAATATATTTGTCAGCCTCCGTTTTCAAATTTATCCCACAGGGAATCTGAGGCGTCTTTTCTGAGTGCCCCGCCCACTTTGTTAAAAACTCCAATCCACCGCTGCTAGGAGGAACGCTTTCATTGCCATGCAGTCTCAACACTGATGAGAAGGAAGGCGAGCATGAGGTACATCTTGCAAACCTTAAAGTACCTTAGCTACAGTTCCCCTGCATCGTTAGAAGTATCATACAAGCGACACTTCTAATGTAATACTTGAAATACATTGGGAAGTATTCGTGTATAATCCTGAGCCAACCGGCGGTGTTTACAGGTCAATATCCCCTGGACAGTTTTATCTGGTTGTTGCATTGTTTAGATTCGTTTTCACCTGCATTTGCTGTCTTTAGTATCAATGTTGTGACTACAACCTATTTTATTTGAGTCTCCCGGATTTTCCCCAATCTCATTATACAAAAGTCAATAATAGGGCTATAATGCTATTTCTTGGTGCATTTTCAGGTGTTTACGGTGGGATGAACTTAGTCGTACAAACCAATTAACACTGCATGAAAATCAGACTGGCGCTGGCCTTTTCCAAAGATGTGAGTTGTATTCTATGCTTTACTCACAGTTCTGTAATACTGAGTCAAAACACTGCAGTGTATTTCATTTCTCTTTATCCGGTGTGTACGTGTGACGTCATTTCAACTCAACCATGCTTCTGCACATGGTGTGGCATTGGAACACATGGAACCGAAAGTAAGTGCATCTGGAGTTCTTAGCCAATGGGCGCTAGTGATCAGTGGTGCGCGCGCGTGTATATGACGCAGTCACTTACGAACCGGATAGTATCACTCCTGCCCAAATATGGTGAGGACATGCTTTCACATAACTCTCATGTCTGTACCCATAATACCAAAAATCATGTAGGGCCTACAAATACAACTTACAAGCTTGAATATGCTAAATTGTGCAGTATGATATTATATTCAGATAAACGTAGTCAACTAAGCGTATAGAATTATATCGAATATATCGCATATAAAAGTTGCAATTAAGTCATGTTGTGTTTCTGCATTATCGAGGCAACATATGTGAGCGGCTTTTCTTACCTTATTATTATTAACCTTTAATTACGAACTATCTTACCAAGGTGTGTTTATTTTTTGAAACAGCTTTGATAGATGCCTCTCCTTTCACACATGAAGAACACGATGCAATTTATGTAAATGCAGCAATTTACATAAGGTTGAACGCATATTAATTTGGCAAAATAATGCACATATGCACGTGGCATCTGTCTTCACAGACTAGTTTGTAGGAATATATGAATCTCCACTAAATACCAATTCAAAGGGATTCCATTTTTTTCATGAGAGTCTAATGGTACAGTTTTGTTGACAATGGAATATCCCTCAATCAATGTCTCTACTAAAGCGTAAACCTGTGCACACGCGATTGCGTTAGAACAGATATTTAGTCAGCTAGCAGGCCTGCATGTACATGTATTGAAAATAAAAAAAGTAATGTCAATTATGTAATAGAATATATGCAGGTGGAGCATTCAGATTAAAAATGCCGATTTTAGTCGTTTTTGTATTGATTTAAACCAGGATTTAGATTAATGATTAAAATAAAATAATTCAAATCAAACAACCCTGCTCCCCAAAACTATAAGAAAAGAAGAAAGTCATCGGATAAATCGATCTGTCTGTGAAATGTATGTGATTCAACACATCTGAACTAAAATTTGTCTTAACATTTTAAACAGAAATTCAATGTTGGCTATAAGTTAGCAATATACCATTGCAATAATTGCTAATAATCTGAATAAAAAAGGTGATTAAATATATATCTGAATCGAATGAATCATGACCCAAAAGCAAGATTAAATCAAATCAAATGAAAATCGAATACATGTATGAGCATTTATACAGCACTCGGTGCTAACTACAATCATTGTTAGATCTCCAACTCTGCAACTTTTTAAAATACATCTTTCGAAGGTATTTACCAACTTATTCTGGTATTTTGTTAACCTGTTAAGTTAGTTTGTTTTTCTACATTAACTGGCAACCATTGAGCAGCTTCCGTTACCTTGCTTAAAGAACTTCTTTACAAAATTGCTAATTTTTCGCACCTTCGACAGAACACTCTCCTTTCACCATTTTTTTGTAAACACTTTTAAAGGTAAACAAGATATCATCTCAATGAAATGAGCTACATTTTATATTTATTTCGCAGAAGAATGCATATGCACGTGTCATCTGTCTAAGTATATAGGTCTTTACTGGTGTTCCAAATATACAAATAATGTCAATTATGTAATACACTATTTATCTTAATAATTAAATGCTGAAAAACAACTGTGTACAATACGTTAACTAAAATAACATTGCTATTAGTGTTTGCTCCTTTTAGTTCTATAGCAATACCGACATTCGATAATTTATTGATAACTTCATCCATTTTTATATAAATGCTTTGTGCAGCTTGCAGGAATCTGTGAAGAAATTTCCCGATCGGCAAGTTATCATTTGCAATTAAACACGTATGGCTTATTATTGTTTCACTGTTTGTACAGGAATGTACTTTACGAAGCTAATAGTTATGTAATACAATACTGGAAAATCACTGTGTATTTTAGAATAAACGGTTCAAGTATTATTATAAAATGTGAACATTTTTATCTTTAAAAACAATCATGCACTCATTTGCGGGAAATCAGAATATTATGAAGTAATACAAATTACGTATCTGTGAACGTTTCATTCAATGATGGTGAACAACAGTAATACCTCAGATTAAAATACCACTGTCCATGAACAACAATGTCAATCGGAGAGAAAAAAATGACATTTGGCACTGGTTTAAGACGCTTAAAATGCCATGTTTTAGCAATTAGTTTAGCCTGCCACCTTCTATATATTGTAAACGATTTCATTCCAATACACGGAGAGAAAAAGCTAGAAAGGTTAAATCTTTTTTCTTAGGAATGAAAGTGAGCAAGGAGTGTGTCCTATAGATCCATCTTGATCAATTATTATTTTAACATATTGGCCACTTGAAACAGACCTTTTCTTCAAACCATTTTCTTTTCGGATATTTCTTACTTGGGAATTTGCACGTCACTTATCTAATGACAATTTTATTGACATAATCCAAGGGATCACGGGCGGCGTTTGCATGGCTCCCGCTGGTTTCTCCGTCACTACACGGGCCGTCAGCACCAAAGGCGGTCTCCTGCTGCATCGGGACCAGATAGCTGTCGTCTGTGACACCAGGTTCTTCGCGATGTTCGATGGGTCGCTTACCAACCACACCCGCACTAGAAGCTGCTACGTAGTCACGGTCTCCCTCCAACAGTTCTTCCAGCTCGTTGGCAACTTGGACAAAGGTGCAACGTGACTTGGGGTTGTCCTGCCAGCAACGTACCATTATGCCGTAGCTGTATCAGTCAGCAAATGTAACAAGAATCATTAGATGCTGCATGCTTGATCGTATCAAATTCTGTTTGCATTTTTACTTGAAACCCCTGACAATACACTTTCCATCATTACTGATTACTCAAGCACATTGACCCTCCATTTTTGAGAAAAATGTTTGAGAATTGAGTTTCCCTTTTTTTATTTGAAACCCCAAACAAAACACTCTACACTGTTTCTCACAACTAGAGAGTGTTATTCCTACTTCAATTATGTAAAACCTTTGGGGTAAAAAAAAATGCATTAAGATCCCTTCACCTTCAGAAAAATTTGAGTAAAATATAAAAGAATCGTGCATACTTTTACAGAAGTTAAAACGGCATTATATGTGTTATTATTTAAAGGTAATGGTGACCGCTGTTTGAACATACATTTCTGGCGGGCAGTTCTTGGGAGCATCCATGCGTTGACCACTCTTCAAGAAAATATACACATCTTGGAGGGGTATTCCTGGATACGGTCTTGCACCCTTACTGAAAATCTCCCACAGGAGCACACCGTATGACCACTGTAGAAAACCAAAGAAGACAAATATTTTTCAATGTAAGAGACCATTCTTATGATGCCTGTTCAATTGAGCTACCGAACACTTTACATGAGCTAGCTGGAAAGGGTAGCCAAGATTAACGAAGATTGACCGAACTATACATTTGTATTTGAGTCTTTATTGAACTGTTTAATGAGATCTTGTGTCAAATGGAATAGACAACGTTCATAAGTAATTTAACTTAGAAATGAGTTGGAGGTGGGCGTCTTAAGACGAAATACTCCAGCTAATGAGGGTCAGGCGCCTTGAAAACATATCCGATGTAAATGATTAATAAATTGAAGTTTCATGACTGGGCACCGAAGTTCATGTAGTTTCTCTTTGATGGATAGTTCCACACAACGCAAAGAGATTTGCGCCACTTTCTTTCCCTTCAGATCTTTATCTAAACATCACCTAACATTCCAATCAAAGATGGACCTAATTGCATACCACGTCAGTCCTGGCGTTGTACACTCGACGTTCCATGGACTCGGGAGCCATCCATTTGATAGGCAGCTTAGCCTGGGCATCGCCGCTTGTGTAGTAATCCGATTCGTGCATGTCACGGGACAGTCCAAAATCCGCTATCTTCACCAGAAGATCGCTATCCACCCTAATGAGGTTGTTAAACGTTGATCTTACTTTGAGGTCACATCATTTAAGAATTGCAATACCATTAATTCGAACTCTGGAGTTAATTCAATGAATGCATGTCCCCTGGTATCTCTGGTGCATTAAAATTATTTTCGATGAAACAGCTGACCGATTTCTGGTAACATTCATTTTGCTTTTACTCAAACACACATATAAAGACATGTGTAAAAGCCCCGGATGATATAGAAGAGAGGATACACTTACATGCAATTTCTGGCCGCAAGATCTCTGTGGACAAACTTGTGCTGAGCCAAGTAACTCATACCAAGTGCGGCATGTGAGGCAAACCTCATCAGCAGAGATGTCGCCAAGGTCTAAATTAAAAGTAAAAACCTCCAATGAATAAATAAATACCACACTCAGAACAAAACACATGACATACTGTTTACGAAATGGGACAGCATTTTGTTTAATAAATCTCGTGGGTGAACTATTAATTATAAAACGTAACAACATCTACCAAAATCACCATTAAGTGAGTTCCAAACGCATGCCACTCATTACCAATTCATTTATCAAACCTTCCACCACTTATTATCGACATTGATCGCTCTTGACTACATACCTGTTTCTTCTTGACCAGATATGTCTTGAGGTCACCGTTTGCCATGAAGGGTATCACCATCAAGGGTTTTTCGTCAGCGTCAAAGGTCAACCCCAGAAGCCCCAGTACGTTGACATGGTCGAAGGTTTTCATGATCAGGCTTTCCTCCAGGAACTTCACCACATTTTTCGTGTCCGAGGTGTCTATATACATTTGTAGAAGCAAAAGTAAGGCATTTACATGTGATAACTGGCACGCCCAGCTAACATGTGGCCAAGCTAGTACACAAAAACAGGAACATGTATTTTTTAACTTATTTTCATCATCACAGAAATGCAATAACCCAGTGACACCGGACAACAATGTAATTCCTTTCAGTTCAAGAAAATTGTACAAGTGTCTCCTGACGACGAATAGAGCATACTGTTCGAAACGTAGATAAACCAATGGTTCTTCTCATACACACAACTCACAAAAAGATATCGTTCACATGGTGTTACCGCAAACCTCCCATTCATTGATCATGTCCACCTGCAATGCCTCAAGTCTCATCTAACATTTTACAACCCACAATTCGCAATTTTTTAATAAAAAGACTCTTTCGCTTCTTTCATTCAAGACGCACATTGATTAATGTTGTTAGAAGTTCCTCTTTCTCGGAATAAGGTCATCCAACACCTCTTCTGCAAATCTAATCAGCAACAAGTAAACTCAAGATTAAAATGCATACCATTTTGAAATGGGCCCTTTTTTAACCGAGGAACAACTTTCCAATGCTCCGTTTCGAATCTACACTGTCATAGCAAACATCTCTTACAAATGGCCGACATTCTCATCACCAACCTTGCACTGTCTTCACTGCCACAATCTGATCTTCCCCTGACGTGTCGTGTAGAACAGCTTTCAGTACACGTCCAAATGCACCTGTAAAATTTGGTCAAGTGTATTATACTCATTTATACTGATTATCTTTTGCTGGTACCAAAGAACTAGCCAGATGGCAGACCAACCGACCTACCAACCTACCGACTTACTGACAGACCGAGCGACTGAGTCTAAATAATCTCCTAAAGGTCGAAACGTGAAAATGCGTTTCAATAACAGTTTGCACACATAGCCCCTGTACTTTATGTAGGCCTCTCTTCTCAGGTAAAATAACAGCTTACACTTTGAACTCATGAAACGTGCATTGTTTCCTTGTACAAAGTCACTACCTCGTCCGAGAGTTTCTCCCAATTCCAGTTGGCTGAAGTCGATATGAATGTCGTCGGGAACGAAGCTGACCTTCTTGCTCAGGACAATGCGCTTTTGTTTTGGCTGAGCAGATTCCGACTGTTTCTGGGATCTATACCACCTGCGTCTTTTGACATGGGAGTCAATTTCTGAAGAAAAGAGATACAATGTCGCATTAACAGTAAATAACGTAATATAGTGGTAAGTTTACGAGCACGTTCAGGCTTACAAATCAACAGACAAAACAAACTTTGCATGCTACACAAGATTCACGTGTTGTCTAAAATGACAAGCACCATCTTGACAAAAGAGTTCTATATTTATTTTTGTTGAGGAGGAATTTGTTTCATTCTGTCCACGAATTTACAATTTACAGTCAATTGAGGAGGTTGCCATTGGAATTCTTTTGCCATGTATTTTACCATCAAAACCATCTTGAGATGATTTTTTTTTTTGGAGTAGATCATAATTTAATATGGAGATGTGCAGCTACGTCCTGTAGCCAGAATAAATGGATATTAAGTTTTTAAGGGTTTCAGGATATTTACCATTTCGCTATCTTGAGATCGAGTGATTTTAAGAGCACATTCCTAGGTAGAGTGAGATTATCCCTTTGCCGCAGTTTTGTGCACCTTTTTGGCATTCAGTAGTTAACTCAAGTCACCTCTTGCCACCAGCACTTACCGAGATGAATCGCCACTATCCTGCCCAACAGTCTTCGGTCGTGGGTGCGCTTCCTTCGCAATTGTCTGCAGTACATGAAGGTAGCAGGGAGAAGTATCGCCATGGAGAGTAGGATGGTCAAACTCGGTACAAGTATGGCGACAAGTGGCACCGTGTCTACTTGATAGACCAAGTAGCCCAACTTGCATTTTAAATTATTGTGACGAACCTATGGAATAACGCAAAATGAAATGATAAACTTTTCAACAAATGACATGGACTTAACCAACTAGTTAATGTCAACGTTATAAAAATTACTTTTGAAGAAAAAATCAACAGTGATGGAAAAGTATAGAGTAATTACGGTTTGGGGAGAACTGATTGAAATTGGGTGATGTTGTTGCTTTCGGATTGAGTAAACTGATGTTCACACAATCTGAGGAACAATGTAAAAACCTTAATAATAATATTCAATCCTAGATGAGCCGGTTTTCTTGGTCATTTTACCGCCAGGCGGTCTTCTCTTCAGATATTGGGAATGTAATGACCGCATAATTATTATAAAATTCTGCCATGCTATAAGGCCTATTAATATGACCGGAGAAATTATGATTCAATTTTTTTTAATTGGTTATCCATTCATAATGTCGAAACAATTGAACAAAACCTGAGAAAGAACATTACATGTACAAAGTTGTACTTAAAATGTATTGGAAAAAATGCAGAAAAACTTCATTTCTTTTAGATTTTTTAAGGACAATATCAAATAAGCACAATTAAAATTAGAACAATTAAAAATTACCTGCCATTTTGTACTCACAACAATGAAAAGGAAACGGATAAGCTTCCCCCCCCCCGGGGCCGCAAAAGAAGGAAAAATCTTGCAAGAAAAGAGCACTTGACAGCTACCCCTCCCCACCCTCTGATTCAAATCCGCCCCTAACTTACCCATACCACAGGCAGACCTTTCCCAGTATCTTCTCCCATGTAGTCACCGGCTGCTGGTGCCTCATCGGGCAATTCACATACGAGTGTTGTCCCAGTGAACAGGCTAATGGGACAGCTCTCTACTCCGATCGTCACGATGATTTCTCCCTCTGTGATGGCGCTGTCAATCCGCTCGCCCTGTTAAAGCATCCACAGGTAGTTCAAGTTCAATTGATTTTAAAGGAAAATAAGAGGTATCTGGATTGGTATATTTTGGACAGATTTAATCCTTTCGGTTGTGACAAATGTTTTATTTCTAAAAAAAAAAAGGTTATAACCTGTATCACAAGTAAGACTTTCTTCTTTTTCTTCTCATGTTCATGTACCCCTATACATATATCCGTATGGGGACTGATGTAAAAAAAAAAAAAAAAAAGAACCTTAACTGTTATTTCACATCACATCTAGATTTGCGCTTGCAATGACTGATCTGAGCTTATGAAGTTTTGTAACTTAGCAAGAGTTACCAAGATAGGCCTACTGTATTTTTGGAAGATCCACTTGATTCACAAGGAAGAGATATCAACTTAAATTTATCTTGAGTCCATATGAGAGGTGACATGCAAAGCACTGTATAAGTGTGCTTCGTGCAGTTTTACCGACAGGCCCCATATCTACAGATAGAAAAGAACACAACAATGAAAAGGATAGGCAAAAAGAATAAGACACGCATACCAACCGTGATTTTTAAGGTTTCTCCTTCCTTGTCCTTCATACCATCTTCAAATTTGTTATACACTGGATCCTCAAAGTACTCCAAGTCGACATCATTATCCTGAAACCATGTCAACAGTTGAGTGACCCCATCCATGATGAAGCCAAAGGTCAAGTTTTCATTGCTTATGTCGAGGTCTCTTATGTTAGGGGATGGGCACCGCATCTCTGTTGCAGATTCACCTTGACATTCCTGCAAAATAAAGACCCACATCAGTCAGATGACAATTCTGTTCAGTATTAGCTCCGGTTGACAATGGCACCTCTCTTTGTTTCTACTTCTACTAGAAGTTTTAAAAAGTTTCCTTTTTAGGATCACTGGATCCTCAAAGTACTCCAGGTGGACATCGTTATCCTCAGACCATGCCAACAGTTGAGTGACCCCATCCATGATGAAGCCAAATGTTTCCTTGAACTCTGACAAAGTCTGTTATGTTAGGAGACAAGCACAACATCTCTGTTGCAGATTTAACTTCACATTCCTGCAAAATAAAGACGTCATCAGTTGACAATTCTGGTCAGCATTAGCTCTGGTTGACAATATGGCACCTCTCTTTGTTTCTACTTCAAAACAGAAATGTGAGTGTTTCATGATGTAATGGCTGTCACACTTTACATAGTACAATTATTGCCATTTTCACATTAAAAGTGGTCGTTCGCGGTAACTGAACCAAAATAAAAAAATAAGGATTTAAAAAGCTTCCTAATTATATATGTTGCAATAGTGGAGCAAGTAGATAGAGATCGGAGGTTAAGGGGAGGTTGAGCAGGGATAGGGCAGATATAAAGTAATTTATACAGAGATCAAAACACATTTCTCACCTCCACTTTACGATTACCGTTTCCATTAGTGACAACGATTTGACGGTTTCTACTTGTGGTTAGAAAAGTCCCAGTAACCGTCAAATTTCGACCACCCCTGACAATTAAAACACCGATAACAAATACTGGAAATACATTCTACACTGAAAGATATTGGCTGGTGTAACATCAATTTAAACAATTTAGAAATGCACGCACGTGTTCACCTTCAGAAATTTTCAGCATATGACAATTTAAAGCTTAGAATCAGCCATAACATTTCACTGTTCATTCAAATAACAGTAGTCTTCAGTAATAAAGATTTGTATTAGTTCGCTTCTGAAAACAGCCATGCATAAACTTGGCTGCAAGCTTGCTACTTGACAGCGTATCGCGTATCTTACAACAGAAACATAACATTTCACTAATACCAGGACCAAAATTCCCTTTTTTTACCCTCATTTTGTTGTTTGTGTTTAAAAATATTTAAAACACAGACATTTTCATTGGACAATACAGGCTGTAATACAAATTAGGTAGAAATAATGTGGTCGATACAAATTGAAGTATATACCAAAAAAGCTATACCAAAAAGCTATACAAAATAGCCCATCATGGTACAATAGATGAAGGCGGAAAAATCATGCAGACTCACGAAACGATGCTTTTCAGAGGAGACACCTCAGTAATGGTGGGATTCTCAGCGTACGTGTACATATCTGATGAGGTTCTCATGGCCCCATCGAAGGAGAGTTTCACAACATCTTTATATCCAACTTGGCCAGCAGTAGTTGTGCATTCTAGCATGGACTCCACTGGTTGGCTGAGTAATTTGGGAAAGAAAAACAATTACTTGAGACAGAGCCATGTTTACTAAAATCCATTGTAAGTTTGTTTTTGAAGAAATGTGAAAGTGAGATTCATCTAAGTGAACAATAGTCCTTGTCACTGTATGGAATTTTTCCAAGATATATGGAGTTTCTTTAGGAAAGTCATTTTTTTAATAACATCCTGAAAAAAAAACAATTAAAATGATATTTCTTAATGTTGACCATTACAAAAATAACATGAAATAAAAATCAGCACCAAAGAATATCCATTTTGCGGAATACACAGTGTCATGAATAGGGAATAAGATTTTCTAATAAATTCAAAGAAATGAAAATTGTTAAAATACAAACAATTGTTTGGAGTCACTGATAAAAGCGATGTTGGCGAGATCCCTCTTTTTCCTGAAGTAATAACTATTCAACCAAAAAGTGGTATTGTTTCCAACGAATGTTACAATTAATATCATTCAAGAGTTAATCCTGGGGAAAAACTAGACAATACTTTGATATTTGGCGTATGTGCAACAATTTGTGTATGATACTCCTTAATACTGAAAAGATGTAGCAATGTCTCAAGGTAAATATTGGTGGAACTTAGAGCAATTCTACAGGACAGGATAAAGTAGATTTGTATAATAAAATATCATACACAAGAATGCTGTTTGTTTCTAATCAAAGCTTGAATTAATATTCTGGACATAAACCAGAGGTGGGAGTTAGACAATGCTCCGATTCTTGCCGTATCCGCAACAATTTGGAAAATGATGTGTAACGAAAGAGACATAATACCCTGTTATGTGGCAAGGATTGTCGCCGATGAACGCTTCAATATTGCGTCCTGTGTTGAGGGCCACTCCATTCACACTAACTATCGTCCCACCGGCTTCTGGGCCGAGACTGGGTTGGAAATCTGTAATTGTTGGGTTCTGTTAACGAAAATCATTATGTGAAAATATTCCAAGAACTGCGTTTGTCTATCACACATTTTTCCACACCAATTATATTATTGTTATAGTTGGAATAAGTATTTGCTAGTTATTCGTGCATCGAATCCTCGAGTATCATTGTTTATAAAATGTTTTGACATTTCAAACGTAAACTTGACCTACGTTTTAGGAAATTCACTCAAATGCCTGGGATTTTCCCAAATATCCTCAACTAAAACATAAAATATTTGGTGTGAAATTATCAACTAATTCAGCTTTAATATATCTAATTATTACTCCAGCTGACATAATGCGGTGCCGAACTGCTACGAAAAAGAACATTCGTGAACAGACCTCATTCGTGATCACACATTCCGTGCTTACTATTTCCACAACAGTGTAGAAACATTTCCTTGCACGCTTGTTCCATTTCCAAACAGGTTCCTCAGTGGCTGAGTCAATGTAGACGAGTGCGTGCAGGACGTGACTTACTTTGAAGTTAAAGTTGACTGTTCCTGAGCTGTGTTGCATTGTAGTTCCATCTGCACCCGTGACTGTCAAAGTAACCAACTTGGCTCCTTCACTTTCTGCTCTCGTTCTGCAGCTGACACTGAAACATAACGTAATACGTGACGTTATACGTGACGTTAAAATAGAAGGTTGAGCAAAACCTCATCCACTCTGGAACTATACTTTTAAGATTTTACAATGATGAACACTTTTAAGATTTTACAATTTTCCACAACATGGCACACACTCCGCTGTTGACTACATTGTGAATTAGAAATTGTGAGGGGAAAAATTAACTTTTGATCAGAAATTGAAATATTTTTGTTAGCAAGACATACCGACATTGCCTACAAATA